AAGTATAAGATATAAAATATTTTGAAGGTGGCAAAATGTCTGAGAATGTAAGAAGACGGATGTCTAAATGGGATGTAGTGGTGGAAGAATCTAATTTTTTAGATGAGAATAGACAAGATAGAATGCCACCTGTTAAAGCAGATGATCTTTCTAAGGAAAGAGTATCAAAGTTGGATCTGAATGATGGTGAACAACTTCCTTTATGGCATGACATGAAAAATGATGATAATGTGAAAAAAGACATTTCTCAACATGACAAAGTACCTATGAGGTTTCCTGAGCTGGATGATAAGATCATAAGACCATCAAGAAATTCTTCTCACATGGATGAATCACCTAAGCGGGCTTTCATGGAACAATATGACTCAAAAAAGTCATCTTGGGAACCAGATTCTGAAAGTGAAACAGTAAAATATGCTGAAGCTAATAGGGAGCTAGGTGAACAAGATTCATCTTTTGTTCAGGATTATAATTCAGGTGTGTCCCCCGGTCCTGATGCATGGAGGCGACGCAGTCGCAATGTCTCTCCAAGAGGTGGTTGGAGAAGGTCAGGCAGGTACTTGCTGTATATATAAATAAGCCTTTAAAGCCTTTCTATCTTTGAATGTGGACAATATCTCCTTGGATGCATGAACTGCTTCCTAGTTGTTTGCCTATCTCTGAAGGTATGAAATAACATGCAGGAGCAGGAGCAGGAGCAGGAGCAGGAGCAGGGGCAGGGGCAGGAGCAGGAGCAGGAACAGGAACAGGAGTAGGAGCAGGAGCCGAAGCTGGAGCCGAAGCCGAAGCCGAAGCCGGAGCCCTTTTGGTATAAAGCGAGGATCAGAGAGGTGGTCCGACAGAGGAAGAAACATAGCAGGAGGGCAGGCTCCACCTTGTAGAGATTTTGCATCAGGTCATTGTAGGAGAGGCAGTCAATGCAGGTTTCTTCATGAAGATGGTGGCCGTGGAGAGTTTGATAGGCATAACACACATTCAAGAGAAACTAATCTGGAAAGGGGAAGGTTCTCATGGCATAATGGCAAGGAGAATTTGTCTGGTTCATGGGATCAAACTGATTATGCACGAAATAAGCCATTTCAAAGGCAACGTAGTCACTATGATGATGGTGACAGGGAGAAACCTGAGTTACATAGAAGCAACAAGCCTGCCGAGTTGTGTTATGATTTTACAAAAGGGAGATGCCAGAGGGGTTCATCATGCAGATATCTTCATCAAGAAGCTTCCTCCCATGGTGGATGGAGCATGAAAAATGAGGCCAGAGAAGATAACTATGATAGAAGGGATCCAGATGCATCTTTTGGCCAAAAAATCGAGTCTCGCAAGGTAAATGACCCACCATGCAAGTATTTTGCTGAAGGGCGTTGCCGCCGTGGTCAAAATTGCAAGTTTTCACATCAGGGTCTTGATGGTCATCTGGAAGGCAAGCCACATGATGGTAGATGGGATTATGATCAGATCACTGGTGATAATTTGTCAAAGAGTGCTTCAGAGTTGGGTGGCCAAACAATTGCCGTAGATAAAATCACACCTACTCGGTGGAATAGTGGTAATGATGGTGTTAGATCTGCTGCTCCTCAGTTTATAGAGATGGGAGATTTTACACATCCTCAACATCAACAAACCCACGGAACCGAAGATGATGGTGGTCAAACCTTTAGACCGGAAGGCTGTCAAAAACCAGCTTCCCAAGAGCAGAACATAACCCATGACGCCGCTGGGCCTCATCAACATGCTTCATCTGTCTCTATGCAGGTTATGGCCCAAAATGCTGATAAACAGCAGTATCCTGACGATGTCGAGATGTTATGCCAGGAAGGCGGGAGTGTGATCACGAACAACATTGGGGCAAAACCAGAGATGAACTCAGTCAATAGTATGCTCACTGTGGCTCCTATCACTGAAAAATGTTTTACTCAGAGTGGACCGAGTCAGTATGTCGTTCCTCAGCTTCTTCGTACACAAAGCTTTACCCCTAATGTCCAGATTCCTCAGGTTGTTGCTCCACTGCATTTCAGTAAGCAAATGCAGCAAGTTGTTTACCCAATGCCTCCAAATGGCCAAAGTCAGTTCGTTGTTCCACTGACCCCTTCAGATGCACAACATTTAAATCATAGCATGTTGAACCAGCCTGCTCTTTCTCTGCCACATGCTGTTAATAACCAGCAAAATTTTGGAGAGCAGACTCAACAGAGTGCCCCTCCATCCCCTCATAATGGACCAAGCCAACACAAGTTGAATCTCAGTGGTCCTAACCCTCAATTCCTTCTGTCATCTGTGAATGGACAAAATCAGCACAACTTGAATCCCAGTGGTCAGATTCAGCAGAATGTTCTGCCTTTTAATGGGCAGAGCCCTCGGAACATTGCTCTTATGGGCCAGAGTCACCAGAGCCATGTGCCACCTCAAAATGGCCAGAGTCAAGAGAATGTTCAGTTACTTGCTCCTAACAAGCAAAATCCTGTCCTTGAGCCTCCATCAGACAACAGTTTTATATCGGATAATCATCAGACAAGCTCACAGAATATACCAGGGGAGGGATTGTATTCAAGGGCAGGTTCAGCTGAAACTAAACCATCACCGATAAGTTCTGGTTCTGTCATCTCGCATAAAGTAGTAACCAGTGAGCAGGCTGCACGAATTACTGACCTTTCAGCATCTTTAGCACAGTTCTTTGGAAATGGCCCTTTACATGTTGCTACTTTAGGAGTGCCGCCATCACAACCTTCTTTGGGTTCGAGTTCTGCTGTGCTTCCTGCAGCTGCCTTTCCACCATCTATTCATCCCAGTCAAGCTGTTTCTGATAGTGTGGGAGCTATTAATCCTGACATCAATAACCTTCCTGGCAATCCCAGAATGGAGGAATCAGAAACAAATTCTAAAAGCTTGCTCTCAGTGTCTGTTACTGATCATATTGGTGAACAGAACATTGATGCCAAGCAGGTGGAGCCAACTGATGGTGATCCTTTGAAGGAAGTAAATGTAACAGACACTGGAGGACGAGGCAAGAAAGAAGAGAAAGCCCACTTAGGGGACGTCGATGCAGATGTTGCTGATGGAGCAAATAAACAAACTAAGGATGCGAAGGGAAGTAAGATGTTTAAGTGTGCACTTGTGGAATTTGTGAAGGATTTACTAAAACCCGCATGGAAGGAAGGTCAATTAAGCAGAGAAGCTCACAAGACCATAGTTAAGAAAGTAGTTGATAAAGTGACCAGTGCAGTACAGGGCCCTAATATCCCTCAGACTCAAGAGAAAATTGATCTTTATTTGGTCCACTCTAAAGCCAAGCTTAGCAAACTTGTGCAGGTAAGTTTTCAAGCCCTAATACTTTTTATCTTTTTTCTTGTTGAAAATTTCAGTAAGGTTTACATGAGGGTAACCTTTCCTTGTGGTGTTAACCGCTCTTGACTTTCTATCTTTCTGCAGGCTTATGTAGAAAAGTATGTGAAGAACTAAGCCCCATGTTTGATGCTGCTATTTATCTGTTATCCTTGTCAGATCAGCCTCTCGTTTTTTTCACGTCAGCAAAATGTTGGGTTAAGTTCTATAACTCTGTAAGGTTTTTTCTGGTTATTGCAGTTACGTTTCTGATCGATAGAACAGTGGCAAAATCCATAATGTTCTTATTGGTGCTGGTGGGAGATTATTGATCAAAATGTTATGTATACTTGGAATCATACTGGTGATGACGCAATGAGGCTTGTTCTTTCCCCCCTATTTTGCTCTTTGAAATGGAGTGCTAGCCAATCATTTTCACTTTGCTCTATTATTAGGTCATAAAATTGTATAATCTAGTTCGTGGATTACATAACCCAAAGTCTGCTTCCCGTCTGTACTATTTTTATCATCTATAGTTGGCTTTGGAAGCTTTCTCACACTGCACAAAGTAGCAGTTTCCTTCGAGTCACAATGTTGAATGGGAATTCTTTCTCATAATTGACAGCAAACTGTCAATATATTGCTAGTTTCTTCTTTTGTAGATTTACTCGATATCCATTTTCCGAGAAGCATAAATAATGAGATTCTCTCGTTTGCTTGACCCCTTGTTTCAGAATCTAAATTCATTTGTATTTGTATTCCAAATTTCCAAGGGTGGACTATACTTGTTTTTTCTTTTTCTATTTCGCGATCATAATGATTTCTCTTTATATAATTTTGTTTTGTTCATTATCATGAGATTTTTGGTCAGTTGCCAACAGCAGACTTGGAATGTTCTGCATGCTGCCATATTTTTGGTGCATATCATTAGAGTGCTGTTGTAATAACGCAGCAGTTCTTTCAAGTTGAAGTTAACTTGGTTGATATGTACAGTTTCTTCTGCCAAACGTATGCTCGAATGCCTTCACTACTGACGAATCAACCCCCTGTAATATAACATGCTGATTACATCTTTGATTTCTGTTGACGGCTTATCAAAAAACCTTCTCTTTATGTTTCCTAAATCTAAACTATTTATCATACATTTAAAAGCCTTTCAAGCATTAAAATGATCCATGAGGTGTTTTTTCTCTCTCTCTCTCTCTCTCTCTCTCTCTCTCTCTATATATATATATATATATATATATATATATAATGAATATTAGATTGCAAACTATAATTAGAAGAAAAACTAATCGTTTATTAAAACTAATCATTTTTTAAAGCGGTTCCAGAAAATTATACAAAACCGTGTAATAGGAAACCACATAATATGAAGTTAATTTATATTATGTTATTTATAGCTATACTAATCGGTGGTACCATAAGAAAAATATAAGAATTAAGAAACAATCTAAAAGAGAGAGAGAGAGAGAGAGAGAGAGAGAGAGAGGAGCTAAAATTAGGTTCCCGCAACCTAAATCGAGTAGAATGGATGGCGTCCAGCGTTTCTCTCCGCTGCAATCAGTCGAAGAAAAGAAAAGATGACAAAATTAGCGGAACGAACTTGTAAGAAATAGTCGCATTCCTTCAGCTTCTTTCAATCTTAGCTCCTCGCATTTGTTCCACCATTGCCATTTGGCCCGAAGTGGACCGACGCATTCGATCGATCCACAGGGGCCACACTCACATCATGCACCTCATCATCTCAATTACCAATCACTGTTAGGATTCATAGTTGGATCGTGTTCTTCCTCGGAGATTCCGTGTTCTGATCCCCAGCTTTCATTGGGCGAAACCAAGGAAGAGCCTCGATGGGTTGCTTCTGCTGTTTCAAGCCACCCAAAGCGAAAGAGGAACCTTCCTATGAGAAGGGAAGAGAAGGGAAGAACACAAACACACTCGTCTATCTTGCTAAGAACCTTTCCATTGGATCAGGTACTTGTCGATGCATATATATATATATATATATATATATATATATATATATATATATATATATCAATGGCTTATCTTTTACGTTAAATGAAACTCGTGCAGGTACTTACAAGCGCAGATTTGTAGCCGAAGAGATTCTACGGATAGGCAATGGGAACTGCCACGCTCGCGTCTTCACGTTTGCTGAGCTCGCGGCGGCGACCAACGGCTTCAAAGCAGAATGCCTTCTGGGCGAGGGTGGATTCGGCAGAGTTTACAGAGGACATCTCAGAGACACCAACCAAGTAATGCCAACCAAACCCGATCGATCATACTCGAGTTCTCGGATCTCAATGTCGAATTCGATCTCAATGTAGGATATAGCAGTGAAGCAGCTGGAACGGAGCGGTGTACAGGGAAGCAGGGAGTTCCTCGTGGAAGTGCTGATGCTGAGCCTGCTTCATCACCCAAACCTCGTCAACTTGATCGGCTACTGCGCAGACGGAAACCAGAGGATCTTAGTCTACGAGTATATGCCGCTGGGATCGTTGGAGGATCATCTTCTCGGTAAGCAAATCGATGATATCCTGCAACATTCGGCTTTGGGGCATTTCGTCGAACACTCAAGAGTCGCACTGCCAGATCTGTGCCCGGGACAGCGGCCGCTGGACTGGAGCACGAGGATGAGGATAGCCGAAGGTGCCGCCAAAGGGCTGGAGTACCTGCACGACACCGCGAAGCCGCCGGTGATCTTCCGAGACTTCAAGGCATCGAACATCCTGCTGGACCGGGAGTACAAACCGAGGCTGTCGGACTTCGGGTTGGCCAAGGTTGGGCCGGTGGGCGACAAGAGCCATGTGTCGACGAGGGTGATGGGGACGTACGGCTACTGCGCTCCCGAGTACGCGTTGACGGGACAACTGACGAAGATGTCGGATGTGTACAGCTTCGGCGTCGTGTTCTTGGAGATCATCACGGGGAGGAGGGCGATCGACATGTCGAGGCATTCCAGCGAGCAGCATCTCGTGCAGTGGGTAAATAAATGTTTCCCCTCATTTACATGCAGCTTCTCTAAGCAGACCTCTGAATCCAGAAATCACTGTTAGGGTTAGCGTTCAGTGTTCGTGTTGCATTCTGCATGATTGCAGGCAGAACCACTGTTGAAGGACAAGACGAAGTTTGCGGAGATGGCGGACCCATTGCTGGAAGGGAAGTACCCGACGAAGGGCCTCTACCAAGCTCTTGCGGTGGCGGCGATGTGCCTGCAGGAGGAAGCGAGCAGCCGCCCCTTGATCAGCGACGTGGTGACCGCTCTCGAGTACCTCGCTGCTTCACCCAGCGATCCTCCTCCGAGGAGCTCGCCCTCTCGAGATGGGAACGGTTCCGATGGCGGAGAAGAAGGGAAGCGGAGGCTGCCATCGAGTCATGGCGATCAGGAGACTCGTGCTTCGTTGAGGAACAGGGAAGAGAACATGGGGCGCATATAGCGTGAGGCATGTGTGTGTGTGCGTGTTGTGTGATTGTAGAAGAGTTGTATAGATGTGCTTGTAGGAGGAGATCTCCATCTCTTGGTTACTTTATAATGAGAAGCTCTATCAAAGGGACTCGTGGAAGAAACTTAATAGACAATCAAACATACGGATAAAAAAATAAAAAATTATTAATTAAAATAATTCGAATCTTAATAGACAAAAATATTTATAATTTTTTATTATTATCATTATGAAAAATATTAGTGATAAATGAAACAATCCGACTCGATTCAAGTCTCGAGATCCAAACGAGTAGAATATTTTATGACATCGATAACTTTCGTATATTAGTAGAATATTTTATGACCCTTGTAACGTTCACATGATCTTAAATGAAATGATAATTGATATCGATTATAATGATCTAATGAATATTTTATGACATCGATCATTTTCGTATATGAGTAGAATATTTTCTTACCATCGTAATCGTAATTGTATTGTCACGTGTCGATCGGAACGAATATTTCTCCTATCAATTACTAAAGATATTTAATTTTTTACATGTATTTTATTTTTATTATTTATAAAGATAAAAGAGAAGAAAATATTGGCTTTTGCTCACTCTCGCTTTGTGTGTGTACTGTAAAAGAGAAGAAAAAGATTAATTCTATATTACATGTTTTGGAGTATATTGCATGAGTTTTAACGAAAATATGACGAGGTTACAACTTAATACCCATTTTGAAGAATATAAATATAATAACAATTGAGGACAAAAAAAAAAGAAAATTCAAATCACATATCACTTGTTATAAAATGATATGTAATATATAATAGCAATTATAAGCTAAATTAGATGTAAAGAACTTAGAAATATACAAAATGGAATCTAGATGATACAAAATCAAAATAAAAGAAAAGAAATGCATGAGCTTTAATTTTGCCTTCCAGATGCTGAATCTACCCAACCCTTTCTCATTAGGAGACCCATCTCTCTCTCTCTCTCTCTCCCCCCCTCTCTCTCTCTCAGCATTTACCAGCCAACAATGGAGGTTCTACCGGTCTTGAACACCATCCAACCTGTGAACACCAACTACTCTCTTAGGAGAATTATTTCCCATCCATTAAGATCTGCATTCACTTCTTTAGCGGCCACAGTAGTCGTTGGGAGCTCCTCTCCTCCTCCATATAACCCCTACTCCCATGCAGTGAGTCTTGAACTCGTCACACCAATACAACCATTGCTGCTGCTACTGCTACCACCACACCCTCTCAGTAGTACTGCTGCTGCTGCTGCTGTGCAAAGCAGCAGATGGACCTGATCGACCTTTTGTGTGTTGTTGGAGCAGCCATCGTGGCGGCGGTGTGGTGGCGGCGGTGCTCGAGGACCCCGGAGGGGCTCCCGCCAAGTCCGCCGGGGTGGCCCGTGGTGGGCAACCTCTTCCAGGTGATCCTGCAGCGACGGCCCTTCATGTACGTCGTACGGGACCTCCGCGAGCGCTACGGCCCCATCTTCACCATGCGGATGGGGCAGCGCACCCTCATCATCGTCAGCTCCCCCGACCTCATCCACGAGGCGCTGGTCCAGATGGGCCCCCTTTTAGCCAGCCGCCCCGCCGACTCCCCCACCCGCCTCCTCTTCAGCTCCGGCAACTGCACCGTCAACTCGGCGCCGTACGGGCCACTCTGGCGCGCCCTTCGCCGCAACTTCGTCTCCGAGATCGTCTGCCCCGCCCGCGTCAAGCAGTTCGGGTGGATCCGTGACTGGGCCATGGCCAACCACCTCGCTCGCCTGCGCGCCGAGTTCGAGGCCACCGGCGCGGTCCAGATGATTAGCAACTGCCGCCTCACCATCTGCAGCATCCTCGCTTGCATCTGCTTCGGCGCCAGGGTCCCCGAGCACCACGTCCGGGTGATCGAGGAGGTCCTCAAGGAGGTCATGATGATGACGATGCCCAAGCTGCCCGACTTCCTCCCCGTCTTCACCCCCTTCTTCCGGGGCCAGCTCACCGAGGCCAGGAAACTGCGGAAGCGGCAGATGGACTGTCTTGTGCCGCTGTTGAGAGCTCGAAGGGCGTTCGTCGAGAGCGGCGGGAAGTGTGACCCCAGCTCGCCGTGGGAGATGGTGAGCCCGGTCGGCGAGGCCTACCTCGACTCCTTGCTATGCCTGGAACCCACCGGCAAAGGCCGGCTCCGGGACGAGGAGCTGGTGACGCTCTGCTCGGAGGTCATGAGCGCCGGCACCGACACGAGCGCCACCATGCTCGAGTGGGCGATGCTGCATTTGGTGCTCGACCAGTCGGCGCAGGACCAGCTGTACGAGGAGATCGTCGAGAAGGTGGGGAGGGACAAGGGGATGAAGATCACCGAGTCCGACGTCGAGGGGATGAGCTACCTGCAAGCGGTGGTGAAGGAGACGATGCGACGGCACCCGCCGAGCCACTTCGTGCTGTCGCACGCGGCGACGAGGGAGACGGAACTGGGCGGGTACCGCATCCCAGCGGACGCCAGCGTGGAGTTCTACACGGCGTGGGTGACGGAGAATCCGAGCACGTGGAAGGACCCGGGGGAGTGGCGGCCGGAAAGGTTCATGAAAGGCGGGGAGGGGTGGGAGACCGACATCACGGGGACGAGGGGCATCAGGATGATGCCGTTCGGGTCCGGCCGGCGGATCTGCCCGGCATTCACCCTGGGGATGCTTCACATCCAGCTCATGCTGGCGAGGATGGTGAGGGAGTTCCGGTGGGTGGCGGTGCCCGGGGAGCAGCCGGACCCAGCGGAGACGTTCGCGTTCACGGTGGTAATGAAGGATCCCCTTAGAGCTGTCATCGTGGAGAGGGAGTAGAGGAAGAAGCCACGCCACACGCGTCTCTCTGACACGGTGTTGTCGTAACGTAGCGTGTATGCACGTGAGCGAGGGGTCGCATCGTCTCGCTCATTCCACTAAGTTGCCACAATAGGTGTATCCTGTAGCGTTTATTTTCTGATCATGTTAAATGAATGCAATAATAAATACGTCAGCTTTGGACAACCAATATATAGTTTCTTGGCAGCAATTTTTATAAACAACACTGTTTGAGATATACTTGTTTCGAAAATTTCATTCAAGATATGAAGATATGTTTTTTCACTCTACCATTAGTAGAGTTGGATTCAGACTTGAGATATACGTGTTTAGGGTCGAATATGACCAATTCGATTCGATTCGATCCGACCTAACCCGATTTAATTCGACGTACTGATGTGCTCTATCAGCCTTACTGTTATATACACAGGAAAGTCATAATGCAGCAGGATAGTTGGATGTCTCACACAATCGCGGCCAACATGTCCTTTTTCGTTGAGCAAATAATGATTCTTGAATTGTAACCGGTTGGAGCTGGGCGAGAACTCACGTGATACACCTCATTGAGTCAACAGGAATAGGTGGCGGCCATGAATATCCTCGTCACCACCATCACATGGTCCACAACTCACGTGAATGCTTGAACATCCTCATTCACTGTTTTCCCTTGTGATGATGAAACAAGGATCCCACTCACAAAAGATCAAAATAAAAATAAAGTTAATCCTGTTTGACAAGCGAACATCAAATTCCACAATTTTTTTTCTTTACAAAGGTAGGATCTGCCGATGATGATGGATTTTATTATGCAGTATTTCAAGATTATTTTCTAATAATTGTTCTAAATTGTGTTCCCAAAAGAAAAGAAAAATCCATAATATATTACTCATAATTGACATCTATAATTAATCCTTCCATGAAGAGCCTCAAATAGCATTTTCCCTCCCACAAGCATATAATCTGGAATTAGGGAATTGATATAACTCTAAAGTAAGGCTTTCCCCAATGCAAGGTTTAAAGAGGATCAACATATATAAATCTTGCCCTAATTGTCCAACCTAATCAATGACAAAGCTTTGTCATTTTAAGTACCAGTCATGGGTCACTAAAATAATGGCAGTTAGAATAAAGAAGAAAACAGCTAAGAATTACTTCCTATGCTAGATTACATAACTGCACAAGAAAAGGTGGTTGCCGGTTGCCACAACAAAGACCATTAATACTAACACATGACTCGTCAAACATAGCACTAAGACATATTAACAAGGGATGGGTAGAATTTATGAGGCAAAGGACAGAAATAACTCGTTAGTGGCTTCAGGATGGCAAATGAAGATACATCACATACTGCTTGACGCGTATGTGTCTCGCTCAGTGGGTCTGACAGACGACTCCACCGCTTATGTCTGTGTGGTTTGGTAAGTCATATTTTTTGTTTGGTCCAATGTGCTGTGATATCGTCACCGTCAAGCGGTGAGGTTAGGTTGCAGTGACAACGACAACTGGAACAATAAGACCACTTAGCCCATTCCAGTTTCCGTCCTCACATCCTCCTACCACAACCAACTCCAGGCCATGCAGGATCTTACCATGAATGATGACATTGGTGGAATCATCATTAATTCAGCTAACTCTAGATGGTGCTTTTACCCAAGCTAAAGAAAAAGAAAAAAAAAATCTCCTAATTAAGAATGCACATTGAAAAAAAGATCATAATCACAGGCACGTCATTACAAGAAGACCCGAGCCCAATGACTACGGCTTTAAGCAATAGTACTATTTAAATTTAACTTCAAATAAACTACTAGCAATTGACTAAAGGTGATATCTAAAGAAAATCACATCATCATGAACATTGTTTAAAAATATGCAACAAAGAACGCAAAAGTAAAAGCCTAGTTGACTCTATCTTTAATCATGCAGAATTGGATGCCAAGTTTGGCTCATGGCTCTACAATCTTATCAATCTGGTTGCCAAACAGGAGTAGCCAGCCAGAAAAAAACTGACAGCAGAAGAGCAGACAAATGTAAAAAACTTTACAAAAGAAAAGAAAAATAAGAAAAAAACAATCATAGATGAAACTGTTAAAAGATATTTAAAATTGATAGTGTAAATATAGACCGACCTCTGCAATATGGTAGCCTATTGAGATAAAGCAATAAATTCAGTGTTCCAAAAATCTGCATGAGCTCACCATGGCTGGTGGATGGTCATGGTGATAGAAGCAAAACATGAATCTGCATCACATCTGAGGTCATCCAGACCAAATATCAGAAATCCACCCTTCAGTTTCATCTGGAAATCTAGTTGCCCAAGACCTCTGATATCCGCTTCTCTGCATCAACTGGAATCTCCCTACCTGGGACATTGACCTTCAAAAGGCTTGAATACCTGTGAAACAAGAAAGTAATATGACTCACTCCAGGTTTCATTATCTACATCAGGTTTGTTCCTCTTAAATCTAGCTTACTCTGTCCTTGTAAAGAGGTACTCATGTTCTTGAATGAATGCCAGCAAGGCCTGGAAATAGGAAGAAAATCATGTAAAGAATCTGATGTGCAGAATGTACAAGGAAACAAACTAGTTAAGGGTTTGATAGAGTGCCTCAAAAGGCAAATTTAGGAGCTCATAGTATGTCCGAACACGATCTAATCTCTGCTGGACTGCCTCACTATCTATTGATGGTATAGCTGCCAAAGCCTGCAAAAGCAGAAATATATAAGAACTCATTTTACCATATTTTCTGACTGGTATGAAGTTCATGTTTCAGTTCTTTATAAGGATTATCTGCTTTGTATAATGCAACAACAAAGAAAAGCAGGGGCAATGTAGGATGGATTTATAGGTAAGATCTGTTATGGAACTCATGGCAGAATAGTTATCAATAAGCAACATAAATATAAATAACTTCAACCAGACTTTTGATGCCAATTTTAAATTGGTTAAATTGGCTGACAACATCGACTATGTGTCCTACGATGGATAGTTTTGCATGATTTCCATGGACTTAATGCATGCCGATAGACACTAGCATCAACACAAAAAATTTTCTCCACCAAACCAACCTGTTCCAGTGCAATGGAGTTCCTGCATATCTGTTGGACCCCCAGTAGGTTAATGGATTTTATCTCAGCCAAGGCCTGTTAAGATAACCCAACTAGATCGGTAAAACTGTAACAACCCAAAACTGTAACAAATTAAAAGGTACAAGAATATGTGGAGTGAACATTTGTATTCAAACCTTTATTGAAGCATTGGCTGCAATACTAGATATTCCACCAAATATATAATTTCTCTTTATATCTGCAACAAATGGTGCCATTTCCTCATCCCGACGTGCAATCTGAGTGCAGATAAACTACCAATAAGACTGGCATCCAGTTTATGTTTTTATTTATACAAAACGCTGAAGCTAGCACCCAAAATAAGGGCCTTATGTTTTAAAGTTAAAAAGAGATCCAAAGTATCTCCAAGGCTGCAAATTAGGCAACATAAAGGTACATGTCAACTGTGAAACACAAAACAACAGATAAAGACTTCAATTGCCTGGAAGTAGAAAGCCGTTTGGGTATATTGAGGTAATACCGTAATACAGTTTGCATATGGCGGGTTTCATCAGTAAAACTTAGTAGGAAAGGCAAAAATGGAAATAGATATAATAATTATAAAGAAGTGTGAATAATTATAAAATAGTGTGATTGATTCACAGAACTTAATTAATGACAGACAATCATTGCTCTAATGCAGGAAAAGGACATCAGTATTAACCTCTCAACAAGAGATGAGAGAGCTACAGTAACATGGCAGCCAAAAGAGGATTTGAATCAACAGAGAAAAAAATGTTTACTAGGACTCAACTTGGTGGTTGGTTTCCCTCCAGCTTAAAGAGCCAAAGAGGGGTCCGTTCATATCCTTGGTGAGGTGATGCCCAAGTATTTTACCTAATGGGTGAGGGGTCCTCCAATCATTTGTTTTTTTAGATTGAAAATTTTTACTAATTATCAAGACATAGGCAGGCTGAAACATCTATGTGCAAGTCTACAATAAACTACCACAACCTCAAATAAATAATTATGAGCTGTTTATGTTGAAATGCAACTAAACAAGAAACAAGAAAAGATGCCACTGTACTTCCTCCGTAAGCTGCAACCGTAACTAAAAATAATTTTCCTCCATGATAGCTGATAAAGCAACCGCCAACTTGGAAACTAAAGCAATTAAATATTTGAGAGCAAGATTCTCAATTTCAGTCCATACTGGTGTATCAAACCCTGCTCAGTATGGTACGTAACGAGGTGTACCGACGGTGTGCCCAAAAAGAATTGAAAAACCTCTAAAAATATCTGGAGGTAATGGTCCAAAAATACCGATAACGGTCAAAATCCGGGGCGTACCAACCAGTACACCTCGGTAACGGTCGAAATCTAAGGCGTATCGACCGGTACGCCTAGATAACGATCAGATTTCGACCATTGCCGCCTAGTCAAAACATTGGTATCGTCTGGTATAAGGTGGTCCGCGTACCAGTATCCCTCTTGGACCGATACATACCACCCGGGGCAGTACACATCGAAATTGGAAACCCTACTTGGGAGTATATTATAAAATATGGTCTAATTGTGGTACCCCTAATGTGTCAGCCTCCTATAAGAAGCACATGATGATAACTTATCCACTATAAAAACATTCTGTCCTTATGGAAAGCATGGAATGTACAAATGGAAATTACCATTTTAGGTACACTACAAAAAGTAAGAAGCAGACCTGTGTTGTAAGTGAAATAATAAAATCATCTGGTTCTTCAGCATCTTGATCTTCTAAGTATTCCCTATTGGTCATTTCCTGCAAGAAGACTTTTGTTCTCATCTTCTCCATTTTGATAGTTGATATGTATAAAAAAAAAAAAACAAATAAGAAACTTCAGTTATAACAAAACAGACCTGCAAATGAAAAATTGTTTCCAACTGCATTTCCAATCGTAGAACTCTGAGGCAGTCAGTTGCCAGCCTTCTATTTTCATCAGCTATAGATGCAAAACTTTTAGGAATTTTACTTGTACTCCGTGCATGGCGATGAGATTGATTGTTCATAATTTTATCCTCTGTGCTAGCTGGTGGTCTTCCAAAGATCTCTCCAAGTCTGAATAATTTTCACAAAAGAAAGAAAGCATGAAAATTAGTCATCAGGAGAATTCTTTAAAATTGATCAAATTCTCCAATGTTGTATGAAGCAATCAATTTCCAAATTTGTTTCAGCTTCATATTTGGCAATGATCTCATTGTAGGTTATAATAGCTATTATTGGAGCCCTACTAATTGGAATAAGAAATCAACCAACTTAGGCCTGAAAGAGAAAAAACAATTACAAGCAAATAGCAATGTGGCAAATCCGGGAAGTAGAACATGAATCTTTTGCAGCCATTGAGTGCTCTACTCTGATATGTAAGTATCAAGAATTTTAGATAAGTAAAATAAAGCATAAAAGAAAAAGAGCTAATAGCAGGGCATTTAAGGTTCAGTTGACCAGTTTGGTTGCCCTAGTTAACTATAAGGAAAGAAGAAGACAAAGAGGAATGGATAAACACCAAATGGAGAAAGAGAAAGAAGAGACAGCAAACAGAAAAAGGAAAAGAAAACCACCATTTTTTTCAGTAATTCTATGAATTCAAAACCTAAATCCAATGGAACATCAAGAAAGAACAAAATGAAGCAGAATTTTGATCACCAAATGTTAAATTGAGCAGAAAAGGAATCAACAAAAAGTGTTTCACAAGAAATAGTCCTCCCACATTTGTATCACTAAGGCATTGGAAAAGTTGTTACCGAGAATGAAGTAATGATGCAACACTTGGTGGGTCACGGTAGTGCAGGAGCAATGTCGATCTGCATGGGAAATTGGCTGGAGGCAAGGGTGGTGAGGTGTCTTGCAGTAAAATGAGGTGGGTTATTGGTAATAATGGGATGAATCAGATAACAGTCAAGGGTTAGGGGAAGAAGATATAAGGGTGGTCCATAGGAGTTGAGTTTATATATATATATATATATATATGTGGATTTAGCTAGCTCCTTTTCCTACGTTAGACTACTTGACTTGGAATACCTAAACTAATTGAGATAAAATCAAAGCTGGAACAATCCATCAATAAGACATACAATAGTTCTCCAAGTACTGGAGAATTAAAAAAGAATCATAAATTACACTCTATTTGGTAAAATGTCCAATCAGTCATGACTACCTGGTCAGAATGGAGATGCATATGCAAACTTATTTACTTTTTAGAATAAGAGTCTTATGAATGATTCCTTATGCCATTCCAAACTTTACACTGCTACAAGGCAGTTTGAAATTTTATGAGCACCACCTGTGATGGTGCACCATTGTAATTACATGCTAGCATGACAACCATGTTGAAGCGCTGCTTAAGGTGACACCTAGTAGCATTGCAGGACCAAAATGACCATAACTTTCAAGAGAAACTTGTATTCTAGCAATGTAATCTCTATGTTGGCATCAATTTCCGATTTCCTTGAGCTTCTCCTTTGACATCTCTCTCATCAGATGGGAAGTGTGACACAATGTAGAATCATACCATGCTAAAGGCAATTCCAAACCATACTGAGAATATTTGCAACAGATTTAAATTAAAAGCCGAACCAAAAGGGGTCCTTTTTCATCCAAAAATAACTAATTTTCTCAAAAACCAAGATTTAACCTAACACAATGTATGCATGGAACTGGTCCCTTGTTACCAGTTTTTTGTGTTGTTCCCTTGTCAGTACAAAGATTCTTCCGAAATATGAAACCATATCACCAACAACTTATGCAAACCATAGTACAAAAAGGTGACTAGTATACACACGAAAAAGGATAAAAGCAGTTAGAAAAAGTGCAAGCAAAATATTCATTTCATAAATTGGTAAAGAAAAATTGAAACTTCAATTCATAATGAAAGGTAACAAATAGGTATACAAATTTGGATTAAAGAACGCATGCCTAACTGATATCAGATTCACCAGTATCTTTTTATAAAATTCCAGTTCTTGTCTTATGATATTGCAGTCATATATGAATTGGTCCACAAATTTGCTACCAGTATGAAAATGGAAAGAAAAAAAACAGGGATGCTACTGTCATTGTGTCATCTGTACTAGGATGAGGCTAACAAAAATAGGGGTTTGGGTCAATTCAGGAACTCAACATGCTGTACTATCGGAAAATAATGTTCGAACTTTGAACCATAAAAAACTAAGAAATTCAGTAAAGATTTCATATATTTTTTAACATAAAGAGAGTCCATATTTGCACAAAATGGTGTAATGCAACAAATTTACAGGTTTCTTTGACCAAATACTTCATGTGAATACATTATTGAATATGACACAAATTTTGAGATGCTTTTTACCTTTCAACAGAATCTGCCAAATATTCCAATGAATCACTAAGTGATGCCAGCAAAATGAGTTTATGATCATCATGAATTAAGTTTTCCTGCAATAAGTTCAATATATGTCACACTTGACTGTGTCTCTAGATAAGTTGGATTTGGAATCAACTAAAAATCCAAAAGAAAGAGAAAATAAAGCAAACGTGAAATAACCTCACTTGATTCTTCCAGTAGCAGTTTACCAGGGAAATAACAATTTCATAGTAGTCTCAATCAACTAAGAAGGATACCACATGCCCCCTACCTCCTCTCCTCTCCATCCACCCATTTCTACTGCCGACCAGTGCCTCTTCTCCACCAACCATGTTATATACAACTTAACTTTCTACTTATGATGAATCAACCTCTGAAGGAAAAGCTATTTTAGTGGACCAAATAATGCTAAAAAGTTTCACAAGTGATTCCGTTAATCTGAATAGGAATCCACCAATATAGATCTCATTACTCTTAGACTATGCCACTATGTCAATTCAACTATGAACTCTGCCCACCTTCCAACTAAACAATCTCCATGTTCCCTTGCTCGCCATTTGATGAGCAACCACAAGTGAAATTTTGTACAGATGGATTCACTGGGAGCATTATAGGTCCCTGTCAGGGGAGCAAGAAAAAAAAGAAGTGGTTGGCTCAATATGCTTGCAATTGCTAGTGGGCATTGGAGAGGGAAGGGAAGAAAAGATATGTACACTTGCATATGCATGGAATAGGGAGAAGCATGAAATTAAAATGAAATCTTCCACCAACATCAGTAAATCTGAAACTCCCACAGATGATCATGATCCAGAATCTTTTTAATCCCTGTGTTTTCCGTTCCCAACACAGAAAAAGCGGGAATAAGATAAATTTAAAGGATGCGCAGTCTGTTAAACTTTAAAGTATATGTATGCATCTACTAGTGCATTGACAAACGCATCAGGTAGTGTGAAGTAACACAATGATGGGATAACAAAACTTTATTTGTAGAGGAACTCAACTATATTAAGTTCATCATGGTCTTGCAATCCAGATAAAGCTAAAGAATAGCATAAGACACTTTGAAATGACATCAAGCTTTGAGCATCTAATGATATTGCTATTACATGGTAATCAAACTATTGGCCTCCCAATACTTGTGACAATATCAACATCAACTGTAATTGAAGAATACTGTTTTATCTGTTTTTGTATAAATATAAATGACAATCAGGGGGCTAAAAAATAAATCAAACAAGACCTGGGTGTTTGCATGCCTGTATTGTTATGCACATATGTTTATGAATAAACCCATGAATTTCCCAAATATTAGTACATTATATGACATACTAGAATACCTGCTTAATTGGACGCAGACCCAATAGTAGGTCACTCATCTCAATCTCTACTTCAACAGTTTCAGCATCTGAAACATTGTTTTCAAGTGAGAACTCATCATGAGATTTTTGTAGTAAAACATTGGATGGGTGAAGTCGCATCAAGCCTTCTACATCACTTCTTCCAATGAGCATATAACTTAGCTTTTCTAGAACAGCCTGAGAAGTTTCCAGTAAGAAAATACCATCATAAGTTCAACTCGAGGTTAAAGATAGAACAAGCAAGACTACACCAAAGATATAGCATCAAAGTAAAAGCTTTATGAAACAAGTACAAGAGGTCAAGCACTGCAAATAATTATCTAATGCTAATAGAGGTAATTTCAACTTGACTTGTGCTTTTAAGAATCCATCAAAATTAGGGCAAGATAACTACACATAATTCTAATTTGCAATTTGAATTAATGATTAAATGTTTTACACATTGACTTTACAATGATATCTTTGTTATGTACGTGCATTAGAAAGTTTCAAGTTCCATGTAGTAATTCCACTAGTATATTGCCCCCTTCTCGAAAATCCTAGTTTTGCCTTTGATTATTGTCCTCTTCTGGACCTATGCGCTGAATTGTTCTGAATTTTACCACAAACATCAAGCTAAAATCAATGTAATCCATCATTTGCTATTTGTGGGCCTAGATCCAAAGTTTCTTCTAAATTCCCAGATTTTCAGTCCAGATTTCATACTATATATTTTTAGTGCCATGTATCTCACTAATGAGGTGTGATTTTTACACAATCCACCCAAACATCAAGAGTTTCCATCATCTTAAGGACATGAAGAATTTGTTAAAAGCTCACAAAATCTGTTCTGTCCTCAAGTGACAGCATCATAATCCCACAATATGGTGCCACCATAAAAGGTGCCCTATTCCTTTGCTGCCAGAGTCTCTGGAATGTACAGTAAGTCCAAGTATGACACACAAAAATAGCTATAGATCAAGGAATGCAATTTTGCCAGGAATAATATGTGCCTATCGGCAATTATCATCTGGACCCAAACCAGCACACAGACTACCTAATTTCAGATGGTCTGTACTCAATAGAGGGCTTATGCCTGTCCATGCCCGATAATGGGCTTCAATCATGCAACGAGCTCACTTTTTTCATTCTTAACCCTAAAGCTAAAACCCAGTCCACTCCCCTGTGCCACTCGCTATCCCTCCACCCACACTTCCCATAATCTGACACCCATTGCACACTGATGCCTGCTGCAGGCCACATGCCGCCTACAGTATTCCTCTTCTCCTCATCCTCCTATGCTATCATCGCCTCCTCCTCCATGTCACCGCCAACTCCTCTAGCTCCTCTTCTTCTCTACTGGACCCCTACCAGTTCGGGCATGAGTTGGCATGGGTCCATATCTGAAATTGAAAACCTTGTTATAGATATTCTGGCAAAAGAAAATCATCACTGAAACCCAAAATCACATAGGTTTCTGGCAACATAAAATCATGACTCGAACCCAAAATTACATAGGCTATTCTAAACTAATGGCTTCTATTTAGAATGTTCTCCTTGAGAGTAATGACAGCTATCTGCATCACAATTCATATCTCATAACTAAGAGTATCACAATTCAGTTGGTGGCATCAATACAAGAAAATACTGTTTGCAAACATGTTTACATCTAAAGAATGAGCTTCAAGACAAAGAAACTGATTTCTATGGTAAAAGAGTTCACACAGACATGCAATTCTTGAAGCTTCAGCAGTAATTGCTTGTTTAATTTGGATAACAATGATATTAAGAACAGAATTTGAAGATAATAGAACCATAAATTAGTTAGGAAGAAAAAGAGTACAACAGTATGGGGGAAGTTCAGTTAGCTAATTAGTTTTTTAGGCAGGAGACTGCGAAGGTATGAAGAAATATAGTTGGGTTTCAGCATCTTAGGTGGAGAACTTAACCTTTTCAGCCAAAATGTCTCAATGTTGATCATCCCAGCCAGACCACACTATGCTGCAAAGTAGTGCATAAGTTCTGGTAAAACTATGGAAAGTTGGCCCCCTAAAAGAGATATTCATAATGTTGTGTGATCTTACTAGCTACATATGCATAATCACAAATCAGAAACAAAAAATATGGATGTTTAGGTGACTCGCCCAATAAACCGGAAGTCAGATATAATAATCAATCTCTTTAACTAAATATGCATTAAGCAAAACTATAGAATTTAGCATGGATATATCAGAGACCATTGACTACCTAAGGTTGTCTGACCTAGTCTACACTCTTCTTGATATACAAAATTCTAAGATAGTGCTACACCAAGAAGGGAAAGGTGAAGATTTGGAGTAAGAGATATGATTAAATTTAACAGCTAAAGAAGCAAAACCATGTTAAAGCCAGCTCACGTAACAGTCCTTGTAGAAACCTTTAGCATAATACAAATGGACTTTGACAATATTTGCCTAAGAAAAATATTACAAAATATTAGACCTAGTTCTTTATTCTTTATATGTTAAATAGGTAGAGAAATAAAAATCCTCTAACTTTGACCCATCTGAAAAGTCACCCACTGTAGTTCCAATTTGATCCTTTTTATACTTAGTTGTCTAAAATCTCAAATTTTCCTTTTCCATGGCATATGTATCCCAATTTAGCAATTACTAATAAAAACTTATGATTTTTGAAATTAGTGCTTATATATGCATGCAGCAAGCATACAGACAAAAGCATTAATGGGCTCACAATGATGTGGCATCAAAGTGGAAGATATGTGATTGCATGAGAAGACTTGAATTTTGATCTCTCATGGATCCGACAAATGCCACATTGATCTCATGTCATCATGTAGCATCCACGTCGATGCTATCTAGGTAACACATGAATTTCATGGCATTAGAACCTATTATATAAATCACAGTCATATTTACTGAAGAGTAACAATTGACTCCAGACACAAGTATGACACATCAACCACATAAGCATCTCCGTCATACTTTATTAATGGAAGACAAAAAAGATAATGCAAAACTGCAGGGTTGACTTCGAAATGAACATAAGTTTAGGGTGTTCATCCAATTAACCCTTGTTTAATCATCCTCTTAGATGCTTCACATAAAACAAATGGATGCTGAGTAATAGTTGAACTAAGTTCTTTATAATAAATAGATCGTTTACCTCTGTGTATGACGCTCTACATCTTTCATATGCACGTTCCAGGAATGTTTGCACAAACTCAACAAGTTCAATTGCGTATTTTGGCATTAAATGTGCCCAACCGAGCACCTAAAATATAAACAACCACTAGTCAGCATAATAAAAACTTATCTAAATGGAACATCCAAGAGATATTGATGAAGTTACCTCTTTTGCCAAACAATTGGTAGCTAAGAGGCCTTGCAGCACAGGGCGTCCCATCTCAACCAGTGGCCGATAGACTGAACCATTTGCACGTGGCCTAAATGCTGCTGGACCTGAGAAGGAATAACATTGTATTAGAAACAGATGACACAAAAAAATATATACAGAAATAAAGCAACAATCAAAGATAACCAGCAAAGAAAATAATAAGCATTAGACTCTAATCAAGTCAGATAGTCAGAGAAAAGCTGAATCACTTTTCATGAGTGAAATGATAATATTAACATTTTTTTCATGTGAAAGCAAGATATTAAAATTAAGAGATTATATTCTAGTTAAATAGGTACAGTTGTATTTAGGTGAATTCATATATTTCTCTTGGCTGCCATTCTATGATTATCAACAAATAATCGTATCGGTACCCAATTAGTGCCTGTAGAGATAGAACACAATCACCTCAATGTCCACTGAGCCATTAGTTGTATAGTGTGACAAGTATTTGAGAACATGGTATATATATCATTAGCTACTTCACAAGTATTTGAATCAAGCTGAACAATTTTGTAGAATCCATGACTCCATTCAATTTAAATAAAGACATAAATGTTCTTAAATTGACTAAGGATCAAGGTTTGATATACTGTCCGGTACAAAATGGGCACTACGTACCAGTCCGCCAACTTACAGGTATGTGGACCAGCCTGTTTCGAGCAATACACAATAAACTTGTCTCGTATCAGTCAGTATGGGTGGTGTATCAGCTGATACAAATGAAACTCAATTGTTACTGATACCAGTCATTAACTGTCAAATTTGAACCGATTCCAACCCATAACGGGTCAAATCTGACCCTAACAGTTAAATTGACTGTCGGGGTCTCTTTTGGGGCTTTGAATCCCCCTCCCTCCCCTCTCTTTCAGTCACTCTCACTCACTATCTCATTCTCACTCTTCCTCACACTCTCACTATGATTAAAGCTCCTAATCAACAATAAGTGGGAATCAAGCTCTAAATTAGTGACTAATCAAAAAGATAATTCAATTTTGTCTTCTTATAACCCAGATTTTCTATTCATTTATGGCTTAAATACACTTTATTCTTATCTAAATATAATTTATATACCAATAAATTAAAAAAAATCCTAAAAATGGTTTTTTGAATTTCTAGCCATTTTTTCAGAAAACCGACACATATTGATGTACTGAAACAAGGTACGCTAGTACCAACTGGTATGTACTGGTTTGCCCAATCAAAGTTGTTGTATCGCCCGTAACGGTACAAAATGAGCGATGTATGCCGCTCTGCTTGTGGGCTAGTACATGGACCACCCCCATTTCGAGTGGCCCAATCTAATTTAGTAAAAATAAAAAAACCAAAAATAGCGGCAGGGCCCATCCAACTCGACATTAAAACAGAAAAAAAAGAAGGAATTATTTAATATGTCCTGCATATAGAACATAAAAAATGAGGTAGCATGACAATCCTTATAGCTGATGTCACCAGGGACTCCAAGTTTTTAATGATATCGTAAGATGAAGTACGTACACACAATCTATCACATCATAACATGTCTGGTCTCCTCCCTCTGATTTTGTGATCTTCCAATTTCTTTTCCACTTCATTTGAGTAAAATTAAATATTATATTCTGAATAAAGGAAAACTCTGCAAGCTTAATAAATGGCAAATCTGAAACATAATTTAAATTGCTAAGGATCGTTGGGACAAGACATATAGAAGGTCATATTTTGATGACTTCTCACTTACTAAATGCAAAGCTTTATTCTGCCAAAATCATATATATTCACCTGCTCATGCTGCTAATGCTAGACATGACTATTAATGCTAAAAGTTCATCGTATCAAGTTCCGGCAAAAAAATGGTACCAGCAATACGTATCATTCGAAAACAATCTTTTTTCTTGTCCATTTAAAAGCGAACACATGTTGCAACACCTCTGTGCTAACTGCTTAAGGCTTTACAGCTTTATATCAGCCATTGGTCCAGTCATAGGTGCAACTGTGCAAGACTATTCACTCAGGTCAGTGCTCAAACAGACACCATAAGTTCTAAGACGTGATGGCTCATTTGTAATTTTATAAGGTTCTTAGTTCAAAAGCATGATCGCAAACATTAGAGCGGGACAAGGAACTACAGATCATGATGGGTACTGTGGCAGCATGCTATTGTACTGACACTGTACCAGTCATAATATATACTGGTTGCCACCAGCTGGCATACATGGCAAATGCAATCATCACTTTACATTTGATTATATTCCTGCTTGTGGTACTTTGAGTAAACATAAGCCCAATACTAGTTTGGACTTGAAATGAAAACAAGGATTTTATAACTAAGCTCCAGACATTCCTCTTGTTCTTTTTATAACCATGGGCCATTGGGCTGGCTCACACCACTAAAGTGCCCTGTTTAATTCAAGGTGGAGAAGTAACCTCACAAAAGCAAACCAAAAACAATAAAGGGTTTATAGCTGGAAATAAAGAGATTTATACCAAAGTGATGCCCAAAAGGCTCAGAATACCTTTCATTGAATTGTTTCAATATTCCTAGTTAGGGTAGGCTGTTAGAACCCTTACAGATTCTAAGCTTGGGGTTGATCTTTTTAGGGGATTGGCCTCCTTGGAACTCTATAGGGGTTCCTTCCTCTAAGTTGCTGCTCATAGGCTGTAGAAAAAATTCATCTATTGTTTTTTGAAAAGAGAAGGAATACATGACTATTTATAGGGCTTCTAAACCCTAACTCCTAATAGGACTCCTACTCAAGACTCCTACTTCTAACCAACTCCTAATAGGACTCCTACTCAATACTCTTATTCCTTTACAACTCCTAATTCTTCTCTAAGAAACAACCTCCTAACCCTAGCCAGCCTCTTCACCTCTTTAATAGAGGTCGGCTTAGGTAGGTTTTACATGAATGTCTCTCTCAATTAGGACTCTCCTAGCTAGAGTCCTAATATAGGCTAATCAACATTTTATAAATGATATACACTAAAATCGGCGAGTGAGCATCTGGTATAAGGCCCGGCAGAATAGTCCTTGAATTTCATTGTTCTTATGCTATCTGATGGCTTTTTAAGCAGAACAAAGTCGGAAAAGGACTCTAAATGCATATTGGGCCATGCAAGGAATCAACTACCCTAATCCCAATTATTGTTGGGAATCATTGACTCCTTAAACAAATTGAGAAACCTCCCAATGTTGTGTTTGAACATGACAATGGGACTCGGCAATCCTCTGTCCCAGATAGAAAATGAACAGTCCTAAGGATTCGGACCCTTGTGACCATGGTCTGCACGCCTAAATATACCGAGCGGTACACCTGAGTGTACCGCTCGGTATACCGTACCGTACCGGTACCGAGCCCAGGTCGAAACTTCGGTACGGTACGGTATTGCGGACCTTGCTTGTAACACCATTCGCCATTTAAATGTGGGTCATACAGGAATAAGAAAGGATCAACCTAAAGATCAAGAAAGGTGTCTTTTGTGGGTCTTACAGGAATGAGAAAAGATCAACAAAGGTGTCTCATCCAAGTTCCGATGTAGAATCTCCTAAAATGTCTATATGCATTAAAAAGGCATAGCACTCCAAGATGCAACCAAGAGTTTGCATTTTAGCTTCAAGTAGTTCCTGACACTGTAAGCCAGTAAAACCAGGAAAATTCTTTCTGTAAGGATCACAACCATGCCCATAAAAAAAATACTTAAAAATTATTGAACAACATATATATGATTTGTAACAACAAAGTGAAGCTGAAATTACTTCCTAATTACAACATACTAGGAATATGATGCACTAGTAAGGCTTTCCCATATAAATGAATCCACATTGCCAATCAAGTCTATAAATATAAATTTTACACGAGTACATCAACAAAATCTCATGTAACATGGATAATAATACTTACTTGATATAGCCTGCTGGATACATTTTCGGTAATCTACAAACATGGCTGGTAAAAAGTGATCCTTTAGAAATTTCTCAACAAATGCTAGCAAGCCTTCATTCCTATATAAGATACATTAGCATATTAGAACAATAAGCAGATGCAAAAACCAAAAATGGATCCAGTCAACTGTGGTGGACAGAGAAGACCATTTAGATAATTGATTAACCACCAACACCTGGTACAATTAGGAAAAACTTTGATGTGTGTATCTAAAATTTAGCAAGATAGACATTTGACTATGAATTTATGAAATAAGCAAAAAAGTAAATTTACTTCCATTGTTATCAGTTATTTTTTTATCCCAACCTATCTATATCTGGTTCCATGTTTTATTTAGTAATAACTAGATTGTGCAACAAAGGACAGAATAGATGTCAGTCAAATGTCATCACTTGCTCACTTAATCACTTTGATTTGCATTAGTGTTTTGCAAGCAAAGACCTCAACCTTTTGTAGCAAGCGATGGTTCTTACTTCTTAAAAGCTTCCAAGGACTTAGTAGAAACTTGGAAATAAAACACAAAGAGAATTGCATCCTTGCAGCAACAATATATACCTAGAACTAGAAGTTTTGGATACCATGAAATAGTTATCAGTTTGTTAAATTGCACAATAATTACATGAAAAACAAATAATAACCACCTTGATCCACTGGGAACCCAAGCATCAGTCAGGAACATCTGCTTGTGACCCTTACATTAGTTTATGCAGTTTCTTTTCAAACAAGTTCTTATTTAGTTTATGCAGGCTTCTCAATAACTAACTTTTTATATTTCATTTAAGCCTTTAAAAGAAGATATTTTTAAATATATAAAAGCATTTTATAGATATATGAGAACTGAACTGGCAAATTTTAAGCTTGAAAAGCTGAACCAGGAAAGATTTTTTCTTTATTAAGTTATGAAAATTTGAAAAGCAATAAATATTGCTTCACAGAACCAATGAGGTTAAAAGTAATGAAAATAAACCTCGTATCTGAATCACAAAAATCATTTTTACGATCAGAGACATGAACAAGGGCAATATAACTATCTGCAAAATACTCTGATATGTTTCATTTAGCATGTTTTTGTGCATATAATAAGAAAATAGGAAGCACAAGATAAAACTTTTGGCATACCCGAGCTGTGAATACTTTTGGGGCAGCATTGATGCAACTTTATCAGTAAACTGCAGATGTCACACAATCAGGGTGCAGCAAGGAAACTTAAAAGAAGGAAAGACAAGATGTTGCACAATTGCATAAAAGCTAAGAATTATGTACATAGCTAACCTGAAGAACTGGACGATAAACTGATGCTGCTAGATAAATTCCTTGATCAGGAAGCACAGCTGAAGTTCCATATCCTTCTTGTTGTGCGCTTGGGCCCCTTTGCCATCCCTGGCTGGATCCTAGAATTATGAGAAATTTATGGAATTCAGAAATGCAAAGCTTGAAAACAGAATTCCAATGATAGAGGCACCCATAAAGTTCTTGCTAACCATAAAACTTGTGTTGCATGAAGTTCATTTGCATGGAGAATTTACAGGAACTCCAGCACTAATATACTTCCAGCTTAAAAGTATGCCTAAGATTATCTATAAATAAGAAGATACGCTGGTGATGTCTACTAGTTATGAACTAAGGGAAAAGTACAATAATAAGTATGATATACTCATCACTCATCTCTTACATTCATCTTACAAGAGCAGTAGATGCTGCTCTGACCAGAGACTAGTACACTTGTTCACAGCAGTACTGTCTGAAGCTTGACATCATTTAACAATTTAATATGTTTAGGGGGGCATATTAACTGGTACATGCCAGTTTGACAGGTTCATAAACCAACATTGGACCAGAATTTAATCCATGGTTGAAAGCAAAGACAAACTTCAGTGAAGACAAAGAATAAGCTTTGAGATCCACTACAGTGACAAATAAATGTAATCAATTATCCTAAACCAAAATACAGTTGATTTTTTTCATAATAAAGAGCATTAAATTTAAAATGTGGTCAACCATGCTTTTGTAGGATTTCCAAAAGCTAGCAGCATGAAGTAAAAAAGTGTCCTCCAACCATGAGTTCATTAGATGTATACCTCTATTGGGTATGGATGCAGCTGCATCTGTAAAACGAAAAGCAAAGGAAAGTCCTTCAGATCCATTCCTGTAAACAAGAGATATTTTACGTATCATCATACAGGAGCAAAATGCAGATGCCCACATTTGAATTGGCAAATAGGATGATGTTGAAAACTATAACCAAGAAAAAACTAAATTTTGTGCTTCAGAGCATGAAAAGAAAATCCGGAACCAATGGCAGATTACCACATAGTCAAAGATACCATAATAAGAATAGAAATTAAAAAAACATGTGCAGCATATAAATTAAAGAAAGATCAGTTGAAAACTTTGGAGGTACTATAAAACATGAAAACCCAGCTGCATTAGCTGAGAGTGACTTACAAATCTCTGTTTGACATGAAAGCAAAGTGATGTATTGGAAGATCAACAAGAATCAGCTTGCTACAACTGATAATCAACAAACAAATACATCATGCATATAAACTAAAACCTACATAGTGAACAGATTTGGATCAATGTACATAGTGAACAGATTGCACGTGAAATAAACTAAAACCTACCAGCTCGAAAATTAATGCCAACATGTACGAGCAAGGGCAACATGTAAATACATCATGCATATATCTTACTCTTTAATTGTGGGTTCCCAAGATGGGTGGGATCCAAGACCAATATTTTGGATACTGATCCGATACTGGTTTTGATAACGTCTCAGACCGGAACAATGTTGATATACCAGGATACAAATTTCTTCTCTAGCTTCATTTAGTTCACTTGCACTTTAAATGTCACTTTTCTATACTTTAAATTTGTTCCACCAAGAAACCCTAGGTTCCAAAAGTAGCTAACTGGAATAATGCTGAAAGTTCAACCATGCATGACTTTTTAACTGGAATTTTGAAAACAAAAATGTTACTATTCCTTCTCTTTTTTCTTGTAAAGATTATTTACAAACATCATATTGAAGGTCATTATAATCACCGAAAAAATGCAATACTATGTTAAGTCTCCCAAATAACTTTACAATTTGCCTAGGAAACTAGAAGAAGATGCATCTTGGACAAAACAGAAGAAGAATGAATGATTGTTGGACTTAATGGTTTTATCACTTTATGTGTTTGTACTTGCCTCTTTTCCTTTGCTGGGCCCTTGTTTGCCAGCCTAGCTGTTTGGACTGCTGCATCTGCAGTTGCAGCTTCCGGAGTTGCTCTTAGAATTTCACATATCAGCTGTTGGCATTCACTCTTTGCTCAAGAAAGAAAAACAATGAAAAGTCAGAGGTATAATCATGAACTTGTTTTGCAACTTCTATAAATTTGAATGTATCACAAATTCGGCAAACACAAACAACAAAAGATGAAGAAAGACGACAGGAAAAACAACACAGTATCTAAATTCTACCTGTATAACTGTCAGGGAGAAACCCACACTGAAGCCTCCAGTTTGAGAAGATTCAGAATCGGCACCCCATACTGTATCACCACTAGCAGACTTTGGTGTGACCATATTGTCACCTTGTTGAGATGATTTTGATTCCAAAAGCTCTCCAACAACGACATGGTTTTCTGATCATTTTGAAGAGCGATGGCATTCTTAGAATGCACTCCAACAGCACAAAAATTACTCTAGTAGATACAGTGACTCACCAAGTATATGAATGACATAATCCAATATTGAGTTGAGAAATTCACTGACAGCAGCTTGTGCTGCTCCCATGGGTGTCATAACTGGTGACACAGGACTGACAACCACTTGTGCTCCCGAAATAGATGAATTATTCTTATTTTTCTGTTTCAGAACTCGAAATCCTTCGAAAATTCCTTTTGAATCATTTACATCAGATTGAGTTTTCTTGGTAACAGGATCTATGCTTGACCTTGATGACTTTCGTGCTGCATGTACCTTGATCTTTGAAGTGATAATATCATGGATAGTAGGCCGCAGTCTTTGGCTTTTTCAGGGTTATAGACAAGTGAAAAAAAAGAATCACAATCACAAGCAAGAAATTGAAAAACAATGCACCAATACGATAATCTAAGAAAACAAGAAAATGAAAGATTATACATTAAATTTGAAAAATATAGTAGCTAAATAAATAGAATGAACTTAAACATAATCAATAACTTGTGAATATCAACATATCTACTGCACTAAAGACGGAGGAGAAAAAAACTGTACCTAAGAATTAATGCATAGCAAGTTTAACTGATTAAGTAAATTCCAAAAGCAGCCCTGTCAAACAATATTGATTTAGCATCTATTATGAAAACACTGCTGATTTGACCATAGTTTGAACTTTGAAGTTCCTTGGATCCAACCCGAAACAGATGCAGATATCATCAAGATCCAAAAGACTTGAGGAAAATAAAAAAATGTTTGTTGTTTACTCTTTCCAACCCATTACATTGTTCCAAAAGGTAAACTTAAGAACTTTCTTAAAGATCTCTTCAAGCATGAAACAAAAGAGATGAAGATGGGCAAGTCAATACATTGTCACCCACAAACATAATCCTTCTTTTCTACTTTGCACATATTTTATACTCTATATTGAAAAAAAGAAAAACAAATCTCACGAGTGTTTTTGTGGAAAAATGTGGTAATAATAACAGACTAGTACTATATGTCATGTCATTCAATAAATATAAGCTATATTTCATCCTTCCCTGCATCACAGTAGCACCAAGGCCTCCAGTGGCTGAGATGTCCCTTTAATACCCTAGCACACCAACTACATCGAATGAATACAAAGCACTATAACATGTCCTTATTTATGGTAGATTTATTATTTTTTTACATATCTTAATTAATCTCTTTGTTTTTAATTAATTGTGCCCAAAGCATGTGTCCAGTACTTTCCCAGAAGATCCAAGAATATGTCACATAATTGTATCTGATATTGTTCCCTATGAGAGATGGTGTATAACTTTCCTTCTTTCTGGTATTTACTCATTGATTTAGATTTTCTGTTTGTTCTTGAGTTCTTGTTATGTCCAATCAAAACTACCAAAATTAATTTTCACAACAAGTCAACAACTAAAGCCAAAATCAATATTGAAACTCCAAACCATGATTTTCTGTTCAACAACTGTAACAGTCGAGTCATGCTCTGCATGACCAACCAACTTTGCTCTGGTCTTTGAGTAACATTATTGATTAGGGTCATTACACAGAAGTCATATCTCAAGCTAGGAATTCAATTTCATCCAATGGACTTGTACCAATCCATGCTCAGCTGGTACAGGTTTCTGTATAGCAGTTTACAGACATAGTAAGTAGGCTGATATGACCATAGTATAGGAATGGGTAAAAAATTGGCCAAAATACAAATGGATCTAGTCTAGATTAGCGTAGATCTAAGCGAGATCTTAAAAGATCAAGACTAGATCCACCCAGATATAGGTTAGATTATCAAGGATCAAGGTTAGATTCGAATATCCATGAGGATTAAGGATCTAGCTTAGATCTACAAGAATCAAGGTTTGATCATTGTAAATTAATTCCTAAATGAGGTCTAAATGGAAGAAATTTAGGCTAAAGTTGAAAGAGAAAGCATAAACTCTAACCTAATTTCATAATTGTTTTAAATTAGGTTAGAGATTAGATTTCTATTTACCTTGGTTTGAAGAGAAATTGAATCTGATCTTGGACTTCAATCTTCTTATTGAGTAAATCACACTCCCTTAGATGTTCTTAAATGATTTTGGATGAGAGTTGTGAAAGATTTAGGGGAGATCTAGAAAGGAATGAGTGAGTGTTTTAGAGGGTGTGTGGAAGGGAGGGGAAAGAAGTGAAGGAGTGGTGCATAACCTTTGTACCAGAATTGAACTGTCCAGTTGGGCTTGCTCTGCATCCCGACTGCCAGTTGAACTGATAAATATCGTCTGTAATGAACCATTCCTGACCGGTTTTGCATTCCTTCATATCAAGTGTCAAATATCATTTCCGAGTTTTTTTATCATGCTTTTGCATTCCTTCATATCAAATGTATTTATCATTTCTAAGTGTTTTTGTTGTGCTTAATATTGTCCACATCATATGTTAGTTCATCAGTGATATTTTAGCTTTAGCCATACCAAGGTGAATGCATGTAATCCAACTCATTTTGCCTCAAGAAAACATCAAATATTAATGTTCTTTTGTACTGAGAATAGTTGAATTATATCCAGATCAACATAAGGCTTTTCTTCATATATGCTCTTAGTCTCCACCAAGAAGTTCAGAGAATAAATGAACCAATCAAGCAAAACCTAAATTCTGAAGTATGATATGGAGAGACATATATGGCATAATTCAAAATTCCAATGTGAACAAGAAAAATATATTACATCTTAAAAGCTAGAAAATGGGAGCATTGAATCTCAAAAGAAAGAATACCACAAGACGGCACCAGCAGCAGCAACTTTGCCAAGCATGCATAGGCACTCCACTAATGTACGTAAATACTTCACATAAAGTGGGGCATCAGTTTTTTTCATGGATTCCTACAACAAAAAGGAAGCCTAAAAGTTTCAGCTCAAGTTACCAAAAAATTATAACTAAGACCACATAAGCAACAGTTTTGTTCTATTTATGGTTTTTGTCAAGAAATATGGACTCACAAGAAATTCATCAGGCATTGCATTTGAAAGCCATGCCGGAGTTTGGCGAGAAATGCTTCTGATATGTCCTTCAGCATGAACTCTTGCAGACGGAAAGGCACCATCTGAGGCACCACTTTCAGCTATCTCTACACTATCATCATCGTGACCATCAAAGGATGAGCTGAAGAAAAAGACAAGGGAAAAAGTTGAGCAACTATTAGGAATATGTTCTGGCAGAATTCTAGTCAAATGGATCTTCTGGCCAAGAGACAGGCAAATTTCCTTCTATAGTAGTTATCTATGAAGCCTGCAAGTCAAAATCAGGAATTTATGGTAAAACATGTTGAAAAAAAATTGTCACTGTGAAAATGATATGTTTGGTTATGTGTATCATATCTCCTGAGGCATTGCATTTGGTCAAAATCAAACATGCTGGAAATCAAATAGCATGATATGAAGGTGATTTGATATTGAGAAAGCAACGTCAACAAATACATAAATTATCACTCTACTTGTAAAAGATTGCATATAAAAGATCATCATAACTCAAAAGAACTCCACAGGTTACTATAAAAAGGTATCCTGAATTTGTCACTGCAACAAACTTTGAGGTCTAACATGGAAGAACCTTGTTTATAGGAATAAAAAACTCTCAATCTGTGCATTTGGTTTTGGTTAAAAATTATTTACATAGATAAATAGTATAAGTGTTTCACTTCTTTGAATCAAGGACTTTGTCCTTGCTTCAGACTTTGATAAACTTTTTAAGATAGCTCAAATTCCACTAGGTTCCTTCTGGAGGCTTCATTCTTAAATTCCACAAGGTAGCAGCTCAGTCACTAAAGAAATAGTGAAAGCATAAGGTTTTAACTATTAAGAATTTCCAAGATGATCTCCTCTGCTAGCGCAAAGGTTGGTCATTCCAACATAGCATTAGCTAACCGATATTATGCAATCTAATATCTCATATCTTTAAATCACCAAATTGGCATGTCATTTTATAAGATATTGTATGAAATGTTAATATGCCAACATCAAGATTTACAATCTGCGTCTTACCCATCATCAATAGAACCTGGCCTGTATGAGCCATCAGCAGATACTGATCCACCAAAGTAACTATCAACTTTTACTAATCTTGTTCTCCTTGATAAAGGCTGCAAACTGTTCACTGAATACTCAAGTCCAGTAGCTGTTAGTACTTCATCCTCCCTCTCTGATATGCTTAATGTAGCCGAGCTGAAAGAATAATCCACTTCATAGTGATATACTAATTGCAAAATTTTTAAACTCATAGTAGAGGCAGTATTCAACAAGTTTCAGAGACAGACGAACACAAAAAAGAAAGATAATATTGGTAATTACTAATTAGTAGTATAGCACGTATAGATACAAGGTACTGATCTTTCCTAAATTAAAACTGCTATTTATAGATTACCAGAAAGAATTGTCAACACTATCAATTATAAACATGTTGATTACTTTCGAACAATGATTGAAATTTCGTACCGTAGCGGAATTTCGAGAAATGCTCAGTACGGTACGGTATTATATACCGAGCGATATATTTCAGTATACCGCTCGGTATATATATATATATATATATATATATATATATATATATATATATATATATATATATATATATATATATATATATATATATATACCTCTCTTCTCGGGCGACGTCGTAGAAAAAAAAAATTCCGACATCGCAGAAAAAAAAAAAAGAAATTTCGCTAAGGCATTG